GGCAGCTTATGTCCACTTGAGGAATTTGTTTCCCAGGAGCCGAAGACTAGCTTGTCTTGATGGATTTCTTCATTGCTGTACTAATTTTCCCCTTGATATTCAGAAGCTTTCTCCCATGGGGCCTTGATAGCGTGTGTTTCCCAAAACTCACCACTTCATTTTTTTCAGGCTCCAGGCTTCCATCTGTCATCTTTGATTGCTGCAAAAATCAGAGGGGAAGACTTGAAAATAATCTTTAGACCCAAAAGCTTGACAGAAATAGAATGTGGATCACAGGAGGTAAAATCCCCAAAGGTGTGATCAGCTCTCTTGTATTTCTTACATGTTTGACTGCGGAGTGGAAAAGAGTTAAAGGGGAATTGAAAAGTGTTTTCCTTGTGATTATTTTCATTATGAGCGATATTAATAGGTAATCCAAATAAAAATAATCAAGAAGAGAAGTTAATCCCTTTCCCTTCTTTATTTTATAACTCAGTGATTCTCATCTGACCCAGTTTTATCAGGATGATGAGGAAAAACTGGGAAATAGACAATGGTAATAAATGTTCCTGTTCTGATGGTTGCATAGGCAAGAAGCTTATAAGTCACCCAGCTCCCGGAACAGTGTTCTTCTCTCCAGGAGAACAGCTTATGCCGTTAGTCTCCATTGTCAGGAACACTTTCTGACTAGACAACAGCATGTCCTTAGAACAACGCAGTGTTCAAACTCTGTGCAGAATTATGACAGCTGGAGAAGATGGTGTGCTTACACAGTTCATACTGTACTGTGTCTTGTGAATTGTTTTACCAAATGATGTATACAGTAAGAGTGAACATCAAGCTTTTCTAGGCATGTAATGTTTAAGCATATTAGTTTTATTTGAAGTAAGTAAGTATCAAGCATAGCCAAAGCACAATGATTACTATGACCAACCTTCTCAGAGAGTATAGCCAGAAGGCTCCAGATATTTACATGTAACATTCATATAGGAAATATTGTAAAAGAAATGACTTTGTAAAGTATTTTAGCATTTACATTTTTAATTAAACAATAAAACATTTCATTAAAACACAGGTTAAGAATTCTTTTCCAAGTAAATTTTGGTAGTTGAAGTAGTCTGTAAATCAAGGCATGTTTAAAGCACATTTTAAAAAAATCATAACATTATACTAAATAAACTTAAATTACTTTCTAATATTTCTAGGTATTTTCCCATTTATAAACCCAAGATATGCTTATACATATGTAATCAGACTGTTTAGGTTTTCAAACAGTCTAATATTTTATTTTGGAGCAATGCATAAATTATCTTCACTGTAAATAATCTAAATATTGTAGAAAAAAAACCTTAAAGTCTTCCTGCCCACTCTTCTCAATTCTGCTTTTGTGCCTCAGGTAACCCTGTTTCAATACTGGCAAAGGTTGTTCCCATTTTTTTCTAAAGTTTTAACTACTATATTAGTTACTGTTTTGTAGTTGTAAAATGCCATGGCCAAAAGCAACTTAGAAAAGGAAGAGTTTATTTTGCCTTACATTACCACAGGGATAGAGTCCATAATGGAGGGGAAGACATCCAACAGGCAGACATGGCAGCAGAAGCAGGAAGCTAAGAGACCATACACGGGAAACAAAGCAAGAAAGCAGGTACTGGGTCAAGGCTTGAACTCCCAAAGCCTTTGCCCAGTGACATAGTTCCCCCAATAAGGGTAAAGTCCTATAACCTCCCCAGACAGCACCACCAGCTGGGGACCAAGTGAGTCTATGGGGGGTATTTCTCATTTAAATCACAACAAATACATACATACATACATGCATACATACATACTTACATACATACATGTATATATATTAGGTGACATGTGTATATTAGTATGACATTATAAACACAGAGTTTCATGTTATACTTAGTGATGTGTAAGCTACATCTTGCCTTTTCTTCTCCTTGATAAAGTCTTGACATTCTTTTCATGCCATGACATAGAAATATGTTTCATCTACAACATAGGGATTGACTTCATCCATGACATGAGATCTGTTTTATTCATGACAGGGATCACTTCATCCATAACATGGGAATCTACTTCATTCTTCTTGTTATGTTTTGTTTTTCCATAACAATTCCATAGGCTCATACTTTATTTTATTGTTCTTCTAACAATGGATATGAATGGGAATATACTGGTCATGAAGGTTATCATGAAGGTTATCTTTTTGTAAAAAAGGAAAGTAGTATATTACATACAATATTTAAAACATACCTATTATTTTATACTAGAATTTATACTACAGATATATTTGATATGAAAATTACTATTGTATGTGCACAAGTCATACAATTGTAACTTTTAAATTTGAAATAATTTTAAACTATACAAAGTCTCAAAAGTAGTGCATAGAGTTTATAGACCCCAGATTCTCACAAATTTAATGATTTATATATTTCTGGTACAAATATAAATTATAAATTTATCTTGGTACAATACTGTTAACTGACCTCCAAATTTTGACTTAATCATTTTTCTGCTAATGTTAATTTTTCCTAGTCCAGAGTTCAGTCTAGAGTGTCTGTTGTCCTTCGAGTTCCCATTTTCTTCAGCCTTGTGACAGTTTCTCAGCCCTTGCCTTTCATGACTTTGGGACTTCTGAAGAATCCTGGTCATTTCAAAGACTGTCTTGCAATTTGTGTTGGTCTAATATTATCTGTAATTATATTGAGATCACTAGTTTTTAGGAAAAACAAAAGCGCCACTGAAGTGATGTGCCCATCTTAGTGTGTCTTAGGTCGTACACGATGACATCAGCACACACGGGGGCCGTGACTCCTGTTTCCCCAGGGAGTTTCCGCTATAAAATCATTACCTTTTTCTAAACAACATTTGGGGGCAGATAACTTGAAACTGTACATGTTCTCTTTTCCCTAAAACTTTACCTATCAATAAAATTTGTCTGAAGTAATTTTTTATTGTGATTTTATTGTAGCTATTTTCTCTTTCCTTTATTTCTTTTGCATTTATTAACTAAAAATCCTATGTGAGGAAGGGGTTTCTTCTCTCTCTTATTTATCTGATTAGTGGATATGCTCAGTTTTGTTTTCTGGGTTGTAACCTCAGACATTGAGCATTTCAGATTTGCCTCTCAATGTACAGGAAGCTCTAGCGAGTTTATTCCACCAAGAGTCATAGACTAAGAAGAGATTCCAGCAGCCGTGTGTACAGGTCATATGGAAATGAGATGAGGACAGTTTCTGAAAGGAGGGGAATCTCAGATGACTGTCATGTGGTACAGCAGAGCACTCTAGGAAGCCTGCTTCTTGGCATAAAGTCGGAAAAATTCACAACAGCAACTCAGGAAACAGAAGAAAAGAAGAACGTTGAAATTCTGTCAACAAATAATAAATGCAGTTTGGCGTAGAGTGTGTTAAGCAGTGAGGATGATGGGAGCACTGAATGTAATGTAATAAAAAGTGCTATTTTATCAGTATTGGAAAGATGAGGGGCAGCTGGCAGGTGTGGGTGTCCAGCAATGTTAGGAAGATCTGTTCCTATTTGCTGCTCAACTACAGTGTTGATTTTCCTTCCCACTTCTGTAGCAGAACTGTTACTAACCCTGGAGGCCAATTTTCCCAGTTCAAGGACTGCATTATCCAGTTTCTCTTGAAGCTGAGTGTAATCGTGTGGTTTAAATTCATCAGAAGTACTCAGGGGTCCGTTGAGAAGATTGATTTTTAAAAGCATTATTCTCTTGCTCCTGTTGATCAGAAATGGGAATGCACTGGTTGAAGCATCTGTAGCCATTGTGGACCGTGACAATCAAGTGCACGTTCCCATGTGAAAGGCCAGCTAGTGGGGAGTGTGGTGGGTACTGAAAAATTACAAACTACCATATCAGCATGTTTTGTTTCAAGAAAGGTCTCTCTGTAGTACTGGCAGGCCCAAAATTCACTGTTAAGAAGAACTCAGCCTCCAACTTGCTGTGATCCTCCTGCCTCAGCTTCCTGATACGTGCCACCAAATCCTGCATGTTTCATGAGAAACTGTGTATGTATGATGATGTTCAAGTCTTAGTTATATGTAGCAGAATCACTTTTAACTGACTTGTATCTAAATTAAAATATTAAGAAATAATCTAAACATGTTATTTAGTAGCATAGAGAGAAATACTAGAGGGAACAGGACAAAACTGAAAGCAGTTGCCTTTGGCAAAGGGAATTGGGATAAAAGCAAATGTTTACTATTTTTTCTTATAACAGTTTCTGTAATATTTAACATTTTAAGTTATATACATTGTAGATGTAACCATCTTGTTAAATAAGAAACACAGAGCCAATGCAGAGATGAAAGCCCAAGATGTCAGAGCTAAGAGCTAAAAACCTTACCCTTCACTGCTGCTGCTATCCTCTTCAGCCAAGAGACCTACCTACTTCCTGTGTACTTTTTATTGACTTTCTATTCTGCCTTCTCATTGGTTGTAAACCCAACCACATAACCTCCTCGTCACTGCCTGTCTGTACAGACCTCCAGGTCTTCTATGGTTGGTATTGAGATTAAAGGCATGTGTCTCCATGCTGGCTATATCCTTGAACACACAGAGATTTGCCTAGCTCTGCCTCCCAAGTGCTGGGATTAAAGGCATGCACCATACCGCCCAGCTTCTGCTGTGGCTTGCTCTGACCCCCAGGCAACCTTATTTATTAATATACAAATAAAATCACATTTCAGTACAAATAAAATATCACCATAATACATCATTAATAAAATCAAATGAACTTTTTCTATTATAATTAGTATTTATATATTCACTTCTCACCTATAAATACTTCTCTTTTCATCTGGAATAACAACTATTTGGTTTGGTTTTCTGCATATTTTTTGTATACAGTTGTTTTCTTAATACAGTATATATAAAGATGAGTAGTTTTCTTTAGCTACTTATTTTAATTATATTCAATTTTAATTTTAAAATGCTATTTATTAGGAAATATTGAAGCATATAGTAGTATTATTTGTTGATTTTTTTTTAGAGTTCAAGATGCAAACGTGCAGATAAAAAAGCAACAGAATGAATTTCAGAGAGTACAGGAAGAATTAGATCATCTACAACATGAGTTAACAACCAAACAAAAACAATCCCAAGTCTTCAGGTAAGATTATCTTTAAGAATTGAAAATTATAAATATTAAAATTATAAAGCAAATGCTAACTTTATGAATATTCAAACATTTTCATCATATGGCTTCTAATCTTGAGAAAAACTGGAAATAGCTTCCCTTTTTTATTGTCCTTATATCAACTAAATTGTTTTACTAATAAAATATAATTGAGCAAACAGCTTGATCTGTTAACACTTTGTTTTTGTTTTCTCTGTAGTGAAAGCAAAGTAGCTAATGCATTTTTTGTGTGTATGCATAGTGTGGTGACTTGTGTTGTGTGTCTGTGTGCGTTCATGCATGTGTGCATGCATGCATGTGTGCATGGTTATGTCTTCCTCTGCTGTTCTCTATATTATGTATTGAGATAGGTTCTCTGACTAAACCTGGAGCTTACCACTTTAGTCAGACTGGCTGACCAGCAAGCGTCAGGGATCTTCACACCTCTGCTTACCCTACAGTGGGTTTGTAGGCATGTACCATCGGGCTGGCTTTTTACCTGAGTGCTAGGGATCTGAACTGAGCTAGGGCTCCTGGGTGGCAAGCACTGTATTACTGAGCAGCCCCTCCAGTTTCCTCTTGAGTAATAGTTCTTGGCCATTTAATCTGATGGAACAAAAAACCGTTCTATGTGATAATACAGACCCTGAAATTTGGAATTCTCCAGCACAAGTAACGTTAATCTTCTTCCATAGAATCTCTGGAAGGTTTATAATGCATAAAGATAAAATCCAGTGTACAAAAAAATAAAACAAAAACCTAGGAAATACATGTCCTTAAATATACTGAGAATGTTTATAAGAATGATTCTTTTATATTTAAGGAACTTTTAGCACTTAGAAAAAGAAAGATAGGTTAAATTAAGACAATAAATGACACTGATTTCAAGATACCTTAAAAAAAAAAACATGCCAGATAAGTATTTTGGATGTTGGGTTTTTTGTTTTAATCCACTTTCTAATACCACAAACATTTTTTAAAAGTTCTCTGGGCTCATGATTTTTAATGCATCTGTTGATAAGCCTTCTGGCCACCTGTCTACTTTTCATAAGTGCCTTATGTATAACTGATAGTAAAGAATTATTGAAGGGATGCATGAAGGAAGTCTGCTCACACCTTTACCATGTGTGTGTGTGTGTGTGTGTGTGTGTGTGTGTGTGTGTGTGTGTGCATGTGCGCTTTGCCTGCATCAGTGTCTGTACACCACATGCATACAGTTTCCTCAGAGGTATTGTATCCCCTGAGACAGGACTCACCGAGATTGTGAGCTGGCATGTGGGTGCTGGGGTCAAACCTGGGTCTTGTGAAGAGCAGCCAGTGCTCCTAACTGCTTATCCATTGCTCCAGCACCAGCCCTCAGATGCACATCTTTACCATTATAATTCTCCTCGGCCCATTTCAAGAGAGCTAGTAGTGATTAGCAGCCCTGATTCCCAGGTGCTTGGCTCCTGCTGTCGCCTTGGTCTATGGCTGGAGTACTGCATAGGAAGATGTCTGTCCTCTTTGTAGTTAAGATGACAAAACAAAAGAAATTTGGCATTGCTGTATATATCAGTATCCCTTCACTAGTCTCAGATTACATCTGTTGGCTCTGCATAGTATGTTGAAAGTTTCCTTTCACTTTCAAAATTATTTCCATTAAACAGTGGATTATATGATCATGATAAATCACTTTTGAAGAAATATGTGCTGTTGTGTTTTCTGTGTTTAAAAATTCTAATTTTTTTGTTTTACTAATTGCAGTCAAAAATTGTCAGAATACAAATACTTCTGGAATAAGACCCTTTTATTACTTACTTTTACTAAAAGGGAACTAACCAGTATTAAATATGAAATACATGATAATTTTCAAAACTGGACTTCACTGAAAGGAGAAGTTTTGCTACAGATTAAATCTATAAGTGATACAGCCTTGGCAGGTTTGTTACTTATATTTACAGCCTAATTGCTTTTGTCTCTAACTGGTACATCATAGTTATGCAGTCATAGTATTTCTTTATGTTCTGGGACTTAGGCTCCACTTTTTATTAGTAGTTGGTATTGTAGAAAAACATTAAGGTCCTTTCCATTCCTGGAATTCAACAGTTATACACTGATCTAACATAAGCTGTGATACATCCATTTGTAAGCTGTGGTGAGAGTCTGATTACCCTTGTTAAGTGTGTGGATTTGTTTAACCCTTTTCTCTTCATCTCAATGGCTGAGTACTAATATGAGATCAGCCTCCCCCAAATAATAATTATAAATATTGAACAAAAATACTCAACGTTACTGAGAGACCAAAACTCAGCACATAAAGGCAGAAATGTCACAGACTGAACGAAGGTATTTACTCAGTGAAAGATGGCAGTCTGAACAGGCAGCCTGGTGTATTCCATCTGTGTGACCTGTTGGGAAGGGAGAACTATGGAATACTAACCTTGAATGACAGGTTGGGGGAGGGCGAATAAACACATGATCCACAGAGGGCTTTGAAGATGTGGAGATTCTTCTCTAAGGCTCTGTCATGGCACAGTCACATCATTATGCATTTGCTAAAATTATAGAATATACAATCAAGTGTGACTCCTAGTGTAAATGGTGAGCTCTGGCTAATAATAACATGTCACACTGTTAGTTCATCTTGACCAGATACACCATTGTGGTTCAGGATGTCACTAGGAGGGGAGGCTGGGGGTAGGGGTGCAGGGAGAGGGGTGTGTAATAACTCTGCTTTTTTCTCACTTTTACTAAAACTGCTTTAAAGACTCTTAAGATTATTTTACATATTGAGAAGGGATATGGAACTTGGTGAATTCCTGTAGTTGGTTGTTTTTACTGGCTCTTTACTCTTTTGTAGGGCCCGCCGCCCAGCTCCCAAATATATACACAGTCTTTCTACCTTTTCCTCTGCCTTCATCTTCCTCCGTTTCTGTATACCTTTCTTTACTTTTTTCTCCATGGCTTGCTGTGTAACTGGGTGGCTGGTCCCTGATGTTCTCCTCCTCTTCTTGCTCCTTGATCTCTTCCCCAGATCTCCCCTCCTATTTATTCTCTCTGTCTGCCAGCCCCACCTATCCTTTCCTGCCAAGCTATTGGCCGTTCAGCTCTTTATTAGACAATCAGGTGTTTAAGACAGGCACAGTAGTATGGTTTCACAGAGTTAAATAAATGCAACATAAAAGAATGCAACATATGCCGGGCAGTGGTGGTGCACGCCTTTAATCCCAGCACTCGAGAGGCAGAGCCAGGCGGATCTCTGTGAGTTTGAGGCCAGCCTGGGCTACCAAGTGAGTTCCAGGACAGGCGCAAAGCTACACAGAGAAACCCTGTCTCGAAAAACCAAAAAAAAAAAAAAAAAAAAAAAAAAAAAAAAAAAAAAAAGAATGCAACATATATTTGCATCATTAAACAAATGTTCTGTAGAATAACCGAATGTTAACACATCATAAAATAATACTCCACAACAAATTCCTTTCCTTTCTTATTTTTTAAAGGACACTAGACTGGGGTCAGGATATAGTTTATTCTACATAGAAGCAAAAAGTATGAAAGAAAAATGTGTTCTTTTAATTATGAAGATGAGAAGACAGAGATGAAGGCAGACCCATCCTCTGGGAATAGCCATGGTCTGAGACAGTGGGGAGAGAGCAGATTTTTACATGGAAATAGTTTCCAAATCTCTGCTTCTCTCTGGAGTGCATATGCACAAGGAAGACTTAGCAGCCCACCTGAGACTAGAATGATTGAACCTTTAACAGGTCCCTTCCCTTGGGGTGACAGACTTTATAGTTTGAATTTAGCTAAATTAACTACTTATTAAACCAAAGAAGAACCAAAACAAAAGTGTAAAACAATTTTTTTTTAAGAATTAATGTTCATGACTGTTTTATTCTGTGTATATCTGTATGCCTGGGACCCAAGGAATTCTGAGAGTTCTTCACATGTTCTGAAACTGTAGTTACAAAACAGTTGTGAGCCACCATGTGGGTGATGGGAATCAAATCTGGGTCCTCTGAAAGAACATTCAGTGCATCAATGCTCTTAACTGCTGAGCCATTTCTCCAGCCCCCAGTCTCCATAATGTACCACCTACAGTGTTTAGTACACAATCCAAAATTTCTTTGCCTCTTCTTTCTTTCTTTCTTTCTTTCTTTCTTTCTTTCTTTCTTTCTTTCTTTCTTTCTTTCTTTCTTTCTTTCTTTCTTTCTTTCTTTCT